ATCAATGTACAATGAAAATCAACTGTGTCTTACTTAACCAAACACAATACAGATTAATATCTATCGCCCTTGTGTTTTCTGTACATAAGCCCTATTAAAAACAGAGTACTTCTGTTGCACTTTAACAAAAGTGGGTGACATGTCACCTAAGAAAAGTGGGTGACATGTCACCCAACAAAAATGGGTGGCATGTCACCTAAGAAAGGTGGGTGACATGTCACCTACCAAAACGGGTGACATGTCAGCTAAGAAAGGGAGGTGACATGTTACCCAACCAAAACGGGTGACACGTCACGTAAGAAAAGCGGGTGACATGTCATCCAACCAAGACAGTGACATCTCACCCAAACTAGATGGTGACAAGTCACCCAACCAAAACAGGTAACATGTCACCCAACAAAAGCAGGTGACATGTCAGCTAAAAAAGGTGGGTGACATGGCACCCAACCAAGACAGTGACATGTCACCCAACCTAGATGGTGACATGTCACCCAACCAAGAGGGTGACATGTCAGCTAAGAAAGGTGTGTGACAAGTCACCCAACAAAAGTGGGTGACATGTCAGCTAAGAGAGGTGGGTGAGATGTCACTCAACAAAAGTGGGTGACATGTCAGCTAAGAAAGGTAGGTGCCATGTAACCCAGATAGTTCAGTCATGGACAGGAAGCTAACTTAGAGCCTGGTTTGGCACCCACTGACTGACACATGGGAAATAAATTGATGGATGTGCAGGATTTCTCAACTGGAAAACCAAATTTGTTGGACTACATTTCCACAGCAACTTGAATACTGTAATATAAGTAGATCATTCTGTTGTGCCGCTTACATCCAGGTTACCGTCATAACTATAACCAGACTGCTGTTTTCTCAACACACAGCTTGCTGTTTTCACCACAGCCAGATACTGTATCTTAATCCAGGATGCTGTTCTACCTACAGCCAAATGCTGTTCTACCTACAGCCAGATGCTGTTCTATCTACAGTCAGGGTGATGTTTTTACTGCAGTCAAGATACTGATCAATCTACAGTCAGGGTGATGTTTTTACTGCAGTCAAGATACTGATCAATCTACAGTCAGGGTGATGTTTTTACAACAGTCAAGATACTGATCAATCTACAGTCAGGGTGATGTTTTTACTGCAGTCAAGATTCTGATCAATCTACAGTCAAGGTGATGTTTTTACTGCAGTCAAGATACTGATCAATCTACAGTCAGGGTGATATTTTTACTGCAGTCAAGATTCTGATCAATCTACAGTCAAGGTGATGTTTTTACTGCAGTCAAGATTCTGATCAATCTACAGTCAAGGTGATGTTTTTACTGCAGTCAAGATACTGATCAATCTACAGTCAGGGTGATGTTTTTACTGCAGTCAAGATTCTGATCAATCTACAGTTAGGGTGATGTTTTTACTGCAGTCAAGATACTGATCAATCTACAGTCAGGGTGATGTTTTTACTAGTCTAGATACTGATCAATCTACAGTCAAGGTGATGTTTTTACTGCAGTCAAGATACTGATCAATCTACAGTCAAGGTGATGTTTTTACTACAGTCAAGATACTGATCAATCTACAGTCAGGGTGATGTTTTTACAGCAGTCAAGATACTGATTAATCTACAGTCAAGGTGATGTTTTTACAACAGTCAAGATACTGATCAATCTACAGTCAGGGTGATGTTTTTACTAGTCTAGATACTGATCAATCTACAGTCAAGGTGATGTTTTTACTGCAGTCAAGATACTGATCAATCTACAGTCAAGGTGATGTTTTTACTACAGTCAAGATACTGATCAATCTACAGTCAAGGTGATGTTTTTACAACAGTCAAGATACTGATCAATCTACAGTCAAGGTGATGTTTTTACAGCAGTCAAGATGAACGTACACTTTTGGGGGACTGAATATGGTGCTCATTTCTGTTGATTGTTTCCAGTAACCAATTACTGATTTAAGAATCTAGAATGTTGACCAGGGCCATTCAACAAAGTTTTACTCAGGAGCCAAAATGGAGGTCGTCGCGGGGCTAGAAGCCGGAGCCCCAGCATAGAAAGATCACTAATTTAATACAACTGGCAGGTATTCCGTGGACCACATGCTACACCTCTGCAGGCCAGATTTGGCCCACAGGCCACAGTTCAATAGCCTTGATGTAGACTGTCTCCTTCTGTGCAGGTAATGAATACCTATCATGAGTCCTTATCTTTGAAGATATTTTCATTACACTTTACCCGCGTGGGTTCCGGGGGTCCTATTTTAGGGAAAACAAGAATAGACCCTCTGCCAACCCAAAAGCATGTCATAAGAGTCGACTAATTGGGAGCTTCCTTTGAATTCAGAGTGCATCTGCCTGAGAGGCAAGGAACCAGCAGTCTGCACACAAATGAGTCAGATCTGTCACACAACAACGCTCAGGTTCTGGAACAGGACTGCAGTCCAGAAGTGGATGAACAATCAGAACTTTCCGCCAGAGTTTACAGCTGGTGAACGCAAAAAAGAAGAAAATTAGACTTTTCTACTTAAGGTTCATTTCCCCAAATTATAGTCAAAGCGTTATCATTAAATCATCTATAAAACCACACAGCTTAAGCTTCAGCATAATTTGTTCACTAATGAACTGACTGCCCATAGTTCTTCTTATTCTTTACATTCACCGGCTGTAAACTCTAGTGAAAAGTTCTTCTTGTTCATCCACGCCTGGATCTTTGGTCTTGTTCCTGAACTTCAATTTTTTTGTGCTTATCCATTTTACAGACTTGCTTTTCTTGAATGCAGATGGGTGGTTCCTCGTGCTCCAACTTGAAGGAAAGATCCCTAATCAGTTGCCTTTTATGACCTGCCTGCTAATGAGGCAGTGGGTGTATTTTTGTTTTACCCTCAAAATGAGGACTCAGAACCAAAACGGGAAATGACGATTCACTTCCACAGATGAGGATTCTAGTATATATAGTTCTGTTAAATATTTAACCCCAGGCAACTTTGCCAGCCTCAGTGTTGCCATGGCTGTGATTGCTGGTTTGCAGGAAGATGCATTTGTAAAATATACACACAGTTCAGTGAAAACAGGAACCTACAATGTTATCTACATCAGTGTTCTTCAAGCAGTAGCCTCTAGACAGAAGATGGTCCGCCTAAAAATATATCACCCAATTATGTAGTGGCTACACAATTTCAGCACTACACTGTTGAATAGAGAGGCTTTGTATGCCACACATGTCAGATTTTCTCACATCTAACCAGCAGCAAATATCATTTAAGCTTCTTCTTCTCCTTCATTCCGTTCATCTGTTATAATAAGCTTCACTGAAAGTTCCAGTTGCTCTTCCACCTCTGGAACATGTTCTAGAAAGTTAGTCTTGTGTGCACATCTGTTTTACAGAACTGGCTTATCTATAAGCAACATTAGTTCCTAGTCTCTCAAGCAGATGCACCTGACTCAGAAGGAAGCACAGCTTTCACACCATGCTTGTTAAGGAGCCAGTGTCTATTACTTTTTTCTTTCAAACAATTCCGACTGTTTTTAGTTAGCTATCAGGTGGTCCGTGAAACAATTCCCACAGTTTTTGGTTAGCTATTAGGTGGTCAATGAAACAATTTCCACAGTTTTTGGTTATCTATCAGGTGGTTCATGAAACAATTCCCACAGTTTTTGGTTAGCTATCAGGTGGTCCGTGAAACAATTCCCACAGTTTTTGGTTAGCTGTTAGGTGGTCTGTGAAACAATTCCCACTGTTTTGCCAGTGCTTTTGTGTAAACAGTTTGAAGAACACTGGTCTAGATTATAATGACTGTAAATGCCAATCAGGCAATGGAATCTAAATAGGATAGAACCAGTGTGGTGTGAGTGGCCTGTGGCTTACAGCACAAACATGAGACCGGCTGTCTGATATATAGGGGGTTCAGCCCTGGCACTATGGCAGGAGGATAGGGGGAGGGGGGGGGGGGGGGCAAACACATTCCTGGCTCCTGGTAACAACAATCCACTGACACTCATTCTGACTCTGTTGTGACATGTAGTTCGGTTGCGGGGGAAAAGGGGGGGGGGGGAGAGCAGGCTCCAGTTTAGATTGTGTCAGCACCTGAACTGATACATACATGCTGCAGAAGATCACAGACATGCTGCAGGAGATCACATACAAGCGGCAGGAGATCACATACCAGCAACAGGAGATCACATACATGCTGCAGGAGATTACAGACTGTGGAGAGGCATGATCGCCCACGCCAGTCGGCAAGGCACCTGATGATGATGATGATATGAATCTAGATGGATCATTCCCTACATGACAACTTATTACTGAAATGTTTTATGTTAGAAATGCCTGACTACACAATGATTACAGACAACTTTACTATCAGCACACATACATATATACACACTTTTTCACCCATAATATACACATGTCCATACACATTTTCTGGGAATTCAGCTGTTTCATTGGCGTGAGATTCCGTCAAACTGAGACCACAATCTTCTGATGTCATAACCTTCAATCTTCATATAAGTAGCTCCATCTGCAAGATGACACCTCCAACTTTCACACGAGTAACCTCCATTTGGAAGGTCAAACCTCCAATCTTTGCATAAGTAACCTCCATCTGGTAGGTGAAACCTCCAATCTTCACAGAAGTAACCTCCATTTGCAAGATGACAACTCCAACCTTCATATGAGTAACTTACATCTGGAAGGTGAAACCTCCAATCTTCACATAAGTAACCTCCATTTGCAAGAAGAAACCTCCAGTGTTCTCATGAGTTACCTCTATCCGGAAGGTGAAACCTTGAATCTATACAAGATGTCAGCTTTGATCCTCCTCACATAATGAATGATCTTCTCATTCTGATGATGTTAACCAATCTATCCGCAGAGATTATCACAAGGAAATCACCAGAATCTTGACAAATGCACTAACCAGAGCCGCCTTTCTGAAGATATCATGGAGTTTCAAGCAACAGCTTTCACAATAACATAAGGAAATGTTTTTGAAGACGGGAGCTATGACCTTCGACTCGGAACTGTCATCAAGAACAAGAAGATATCATTGTGACCCCCATACGCAGCTATGTGTAAAGGGTTCCACCCGTCCCTGTTGGCCAGGCGGACATCCGCACCAAAGCGCACCAACAGTTTAACAAGTTCAAGGTTGCCGTTAAAGCAGCTGTGGTGCAGGGCCGTCTGCCCCTCCTTGTCAAAGAGGTTGACGTTAATCTTGCCATCCCTCTCCTCCAGTATTCGTTGGAGCTCAATTGTGTCTCCATTCTGAACTGCCTCTCTGAATATCACCTGACAGGGTGAGAAGAGGGTCGGTGGTGTCGGTGGTGGAGTCAACGGAGAGCTTGAAGCCGATGCTGACTGCAATGAGGGTGATGCCGAAGATGATGATGATGATGATGAATGTGAGGATGTCTCATCCACTAGAAGTGAAGATGGAAACCCTGAAGAATCTGCACTGTTTGTGCAGGGGGACTGCTGGAACCTCTTGTCATTCATCGTCCCTACAACCTCAACTGGGTGACCACTGATCCAGCGGACCTCAAGAGACATGTACGGGATCTCGGTGAGTGACTACATAACTGGGGGCAAGATGCAGACTCCACTATCTCTGATCCTGAAATGTGAGAGCTTACAGTGTCTGCTGTCTTTACAAACTTATTTCATCCTCAGGAACAACATTTGAGGAAAGCCTAATATATAATGATGTGATAACACTGTGTACCAAAGTGTCAACAACTCATCTGTGTGGTCAGTCTGCCTCTTCTGATAATGGAGTCAAGTATTCAACCTGGAGAACAGAAAGATAACTCGTTAGCCATCAAGAAGGTACATTACAATATTATGTACATATACAGGATGTTAGAAGGGGTCAGAATGTTCTTGTGTACATCAATGTCTGTACACAGTGTGCTGAGCTGAGTTTAGGTGAGGCTGATACAAGGACATATCTCAGTACCTGGGACTTTCTCACAACAGTAAAGACTAGCTGGGGTGAGGCCTTGCTTTGTCATGGATTCCCCACACAACACATACAGACTGACTGGATCAGATCTAGGTTGGTCATATCTTCTCCCACACAACACATACAGACTTGCTGGATCAGATCTAGGTTGGTCAAATCTTCTCCCACACAACACATACAGACTGACTGGGATCAGACCTAGGTTGGTCATATCTTCTCCCACACAACACATACAGACTTGCTGGATCAGATCTAGGTTGGTCATATCTTCTCCCACACAACACATACAGACTTGCTGGATCAGATCTAGGTTGGTCATATCTTCTCCCACACAACACATACAGACTTGCTGGATCAGATCTAGGTTGGTCATATCTTCTCCCACACAACACATACAGACTTGCTGGATCAGACCTAAGTTGGTCATATCTTCTCCCACACAACACATACAGACTTGCTGGATCAGACCTAGGTTGGCAATATCTTCTCCCACACAACACATACAGACTTGTTGGATCAGACATAGGTTGGCCATATCTTCTCCCACACAACACATACAGACTTGCTGGATCAGACCTAAGTTGGTCATATCTTCTCCCACACAACACATACAGACTTGCTGGATCAGACCTAGGTTGGCAATATCTTCTCCCACACAACACATACAGACTTGTTGGATCAGACCTAGGTTGGTCATATCTTCTCCCACACAACACATACAGACTTGCTGGATCAGACTTAGGTTGGTCATATCTTCTCCCACACAACACATACAGACTTGCTGGATCAGACCTAGGTTGGTCATTTCTTCTCCCAAACAACACATAGTGACTTGCTGGATCAGACCTAGGTTGGTCATATCTTCTCCCACACAACACATACAGATTTGCTGGATCAGACCTAGGTTGGTCATTTCTTCTCCCACACAACACATACAGACTTGCTGGATCAGACCTAGGTTGGTCATATCTTCTCCCACACAACACATACAGACTTGCTGGATCAGACCTAGGTTGATTACGTATTCAAATTTAATACAATACAACTGGCAATGATTCGCAGGCCGTTCTCTAGGCCTCCACGGGCCACATTTGGCCAGCGTGCCGCCAGCTGAATAGCCCTGTACTACACTGTCAGCAGACTCCGGCCCAATACCCAGAGGGCCAGATATAGATAGAATCATGACATCACTTACAGAAATGGATTCTATTTTGCAAAACTGAGGATTATATCTTTCAAGTGAAGGATTTTATCTTGCAAGGTTAAAGTTCTGAATGTGGATTCTCCGCTAGATTTTGAATGCAGATAATTTCTGAGCACAGTAGCGTTGAGTTGAGTCAAGAATTGACATCACAGCACTCCGGTGATTCCCATGCGTGCTCTGTCATCTTTAGCAGCCAGCGCAAAGTTCCAATACTGATAGTACCGGTCACAATCTGGTTATATGTCCGTTTTGCCTTACCTTTGAGTGTAGTGAGCCGCCCAGACCCTCTGGTAACACCCAGGTGCCTCATTCTCTCCAGGCCATAATAATCTTATTTCTCTACTGATTCAGTTGCTTGTTCCCAAAGGGCCTTGACCTCATCTACCTTTGTATCAATTCACCACCCAGTGGTGCAGATCCAGCCAATCTGTCGCCCTTTTCATTACCCACCATGCCGACATACCCGGAGAAAAGATCCAAAGTATGCTCACTACCCGTGACCTTCCCAGTGTAGATTGCCACTCTGCTCGAAGCATCCCTGTCTTCACCTTTCTCAGCACGCCTTCAGAGTCAGTTACAATTATGACATGAGCACAGTAATACACATATCTTCTTCTTCTTCAGCAATCTCTGGTCATGCGCATAATCCACTGTGGGTCATAAACTGCGATGTCTTTTCAAGGTCTCTTAGGTTTCCCCAAAGCTTAGTTGTCAGTTCTACTGGGTGTTGCCATATGTTGCTCCGCAGCTCCGCCAGGAGAGGACAATCTTGCAGGACATGTTCTGGAGTCTGTTCAGCACGAAGGCACTGGCAGAGAGCTGTTTGGCTCATACCTAATTTAAGTGAGTGTTTATTGAGTCTGCAGTGTCCAGTACGTAGGCCAAAAACTGTGACTTGGTCTGGTCTGTTCAAGTGTTTTAGAACATCTTTTTCGTAGTTATAACCAGTGTTGGTTTTCAAATCTGTTTCTGATTTTCTCTTAATGAGAGTTTTGACTTCTGGAAAAGATAGTGGCTGGTAGGTCTGTGGTTTGTTACTGCCGTAATACACATATAACCACAATCTATACTGTAGGAATAGAGCTAGAGTATGTCACAGATGCTCTGTGTATTATTGTCAATGGTATTGTGTTAATAATCTTGCTGTGCTGAAACTCGGGCCTCTGGCGATCCCCATTTTCAACACTCAGCTTCCCAAGTAAACTTAGCTGGGTAGCCATGATCTATACCCAAGTCAGCCCTGCTGGTATGAATGGTTCAGTTATCAGTGCTGGAATATAGGTACATCATCTGTTTAAGGCTGGAAGTTCATCGACTGTCCTTGGTGATGTATGTGGCTGTAGGTTCATCTACTGTCCCTGGTGATGCATGTGGCTGGAGGTTCATCTACTGTCCCTGGTGATGTATGTGGCTGGAGGTTCATCTACTGTCCCTGGTGATGCATGTGGCTGTGTGTTCATCTACTGTCCCTGGTGATGCATGTGGCTGTAGGTTCATCTACTGTCCCTGGTGATGTATGTGGCTGTGTGTTCATCTACTGTCCCTGGTGATGTATGTGGCTGGAGGTTCATCTACTGTCCCTGGTAATGCATGTGGCTGGAGGTTCATCTACTGTCCCTGGTGATGTATGTGGCTGTAGGTTCATCTACTGTCCCTGGTGATGTATGTGGCTGGAGGTTCATCTACTGTCCCTGGTGATGTATGTGGCTGTAGGTTCATCTACTGTCCCTGGTGATGCATGTGGCTGGAGGTTCATCTACTGTCCCTGGTGATTAATGTGGCTGGAAGTTCATCTACTGTCCCTGGTGATGCATGTGGCTGTAGGTTAATCTACTGTCCCTGGTGATGCATGTGGCTGTAAGTTTATCTATTGTCCCTGGTTATGCATGTGGCTGGAGGTTTATCTACTGTCCCTGGGGATGCATGTGGCTGTGTGTTCATCTGCTGTTCCTGGTGATGCATGTGGCTATAAGTTCATCTACTGTCCCTGGTTATGCATGTGGCTGGAGGTTCATCTACTGTCCCTGGTGATGTATGTGGCTGTAAGTTCATCTATTGCCACTGGTGATGCAGACCTCCTTTTAAATGGGGTGCCGCATAAGTTTTCATACACAGAAAGAAAAAAAATTTAACCGCCACTACAAGCATAAAACAATGATAGTATTGTAGAACATATTATATTAAAGTGTTTTCACTAAAAAAAAAAACAACCACCCCAAAAAACATATTTCAATGCATGTCCTCCGCTGTTCAACAACACACATAAGCACAGCTGGAGTTATACTTGTAACAGTGCTGGTGGTATTTGAGAAAAACCTAAAAGTACAAATACGCTGTGCAAGGATAAAGTAAGTTGTCGGATATACCACAGAATTAGGGAGAAAACAGAAAAGGCAAAAACGTGACTTTATTTTGAGTTTACTCGAGAAATGAAAACACAGCCCTTAGGACATTCCAATAAATAATCTGTCCTCATCTTCAGCAGCCAGTGCAGAGTTCTAATGGCAATCTGACTGTATATCCGTCTCACCTTTATGCTTCAATCAAAAGGTTTTTCCTGTGACTCCTGCTTCTATGCTCTCCTGGTTCTGTGACCTCTTTTCTCTCCCTGTCCTTTTCACCATTTTTTCACTGACTGTGAAGATGGTACTGATTACAAGACTTTAAATAATGAAGGTTCCTGTGTGGGTTCTGGAGTCCCACTGTCAAAACAAGAAAGAGTAGGCCCATAACAAGCATGTCATAAGAGACAACTAATTAGAGATTTCAACTGAACTTGGAGTGCCTCTTTCTGCGAGGCAAGGAACCAACAGTCTGCACACAAATAAGCCAGATTTGTAAAACAGATGTGCACATAAAGCTCAAGTTCTGGAACAAGACTAAAAGTCCAGAAGTGGACGAACAACCAGAACTCTCCACGAGGGTTTACAGCCGCTGAGCGCTGAGAAGAAGAGACGATGATAAGAAACAAATAATCATAATGGAAAGTTATAGTTTATCCCTGTGTTTGTTCCGGGGCTCTGTTATAGGGAAAACAAGAATAGACCCACAGCCTATGAACAACCAGAAGTTTATGCCAGAGTTTACAGCTGGTGAACGTGAAGAAGAAGAAAAAGTTACAGTTGAGAGAATCAACCTCACTGCATCAGGTTTGATTCTAAACAGTTCAGTCCCTTTCTTTTTGAGTACAAAATCTACAGGAAATTATATGGTTACAAGACTTGATATCATGAGGTTCCTCGTGTGCGTTCTGGGCTCCCACTGTCAGAAAAATAAAGAAACTTTGTGACCCTTTGAAAATAAAGTTTATTCGTTTGTTCGTTCTGCTGCGATTGAGAGCATTACATAAAGCACAAACTATGTAGCTCCAGCAACAATCCAATC